GTCAATGTATTAAATAATGGGCCTTTGTGTGTCTGATTTTACCAGTTTACTTGCAGGTTAAAATTCCCCATAACTTTGAGGAACATCTCTGGTGCCTTTCTGACAAACTTCTATTAAGTTTTCCTTTATGCCCAACCTTACTGTGGGATTACTGTTAATGTGTCTGTACCCCACTTCTTGTCTTTATCATTTATCATCTCTAACCAAACTCCTTCTACATCTTAGTTTCCTGAAGAGTCCCTGAAGAAGGGTAATACCTGAAACATTGACTGCTCCTTTCCTCCAGATGCTGCCTGGCCTGCTGTGTTCTTCCAGCATCCTGTTTATCTGCCTTGGATTCCAGCATCTACACAGCTTCTTTTTGTCTCTGAGAATTGCATCTAATGGGTACATTGTGTAAGGCACAAGCTGTCAGAGCAGACGTAGGCCACTCAGCCCATTGAGTACAGCTCCACCATTCAATGAGATGATGGCTTCTCTGATAATCCTCAACTCCACTTTCCTGCCTTTTTCCCATTACCCTTTATTGCCCACCTGGTTAAAAATTCATCTACCTCAGCCTTTGATAGTCGTAAGGACCCAGCCTCAACAGCCCTCTCCCGTAAGGAATTCAACAGATTCACTCCCCTCGGAGAGAAGAAATTCCTCCTTATCTCTGCCTAAAATGTATGGCCCCTTATTCTGAGATTTGCCTTCCATTTCTAGAATCTCTCACAAGGGGAAGCAACCCCTGTCGAGTTCCCTAAGAAGCTTGTTTGCTTTAAAAAGGTTACCTTTCATTCCTCTAAATTCTAATGAGTAGAGGCCCAATCTACTCAATCTCTCCTTATAAGACAGTCCCTCCATACACGGTATCAGGGGATAAGCAGCTTTGGGCCTGGTATCTAAGGAAGGATGGGCTAGCCTTGGAGGAAGTCCAAGAAGGTTTAAGGAATGATCCCGGGAATGAAGGGCTTGTCACACGAGGAGGATTTGAGGACTCTGGGTCTGTACTCAATGGAGTTTAGAAAGGTTGAGGGAGGGTCTGATTGAAACTTATACAATAGAGAGGTCCGGATAGAGTAGATGTGGAGAAGATACTTCCATTAGTAGGAGAGACTAGGACTCTACGGCAGAGCCTCAGAGTGAAGGGCTGACCCTTCAGACCTGAGATGAGGAATTTCTTCAGCCACAGGCTGGTTAATCTGTGGAACTCATTTCTGCAGAGGGCTGTGGAGGCCAAGTCATTGAGTTTGTTTAAGACTGAAATGGACTCTTGATTGGTAAGGGGATCAAGGTTTATGGGGAAAAGGCAGGAGAATGGGATTGAGAAACAGATCAGCCATGATTGAATGGTGGAGCAGACTCAATGAGCCAAATAGCTAAATTCCACTCCTGTGTCTTATGGTGTTACAAGTGAACCTCCTCTGGATTGCCTCAAAAGCCAATAAGGGGCCCAGCTGATAGCCCTCTGCAGATTCTGTGTCATCCTCACCAGTTGTTTTCCCACCATTTTTTTGTCACCTTAAAAATTGCTGACTGCCCATTTACTTTCCTCACCTAAGTCATGAATGTTTATTGCAAATAACTGTGCCCTCAGCACTAATCATTGTGGCACACCGCTGGTTATGGACAGTCAGCTTAAAATGCCCTCCTTATGCCAGCTTGTTGTCTTTTATTAGTTAGTGAATCCTCTATCCATGCTCATATATTACCACCAGCATGGGTTCTTATCTTAGTCAGTAACCAAATGTGTGGCACCTTATCAAGTGCCTTCTGAAAATCCAAATACATTACATTCACTGCTTCCCCTTTTTCTATCCTGCTTGTAACCTCCTCAAAGAGTTGTATTAATTGTTTATGCATCCTCTGTAACATTGATTGTGAAGCTGCTTTCCAGTAGCACTAAGAAACTTTTGACAGTGGGCACGAGGTGTAGAGTCATAGAGCATGGAGACAGACCCTTTCGTCCAACTTATCTGTGCTGACCAAGTTTCCCAGACGGCAGAACAGGAAAGAGATAGGTTTTATGAAGCTACCTGAACAAAGGGAACACAGAGAAAGCACATGATGTTCCATTCTTTCCACATTCTTGCTGTCTCAGAAACCTAGACACTAAATAGACATGGTCCAGAAAATGGAAATGTTTGAAATGTGAATGGTAATATGCACGCTAAAAAATCCAACCCACAACTGAAGAAAGGTTTGAAACTGAAGAGCAAAAGAGCCCTGAAAAGTGACATCCAGGAAAGCAAATTTCAGAAACAAAAACAAAGTTGCTGGAAAAGCTCAGCAGGTCTGGCAGCATCTGTGAAGGAGAAAAGGGACCTGAGGGGCAATTTTTTTTTCACACAGAGGCTGGTTCATAAGTGGAATGAACTGCCAGAGGAAGTGGTAGATTCTGGTACAGTTACAACATTTAAAAGACATTTGGACAGGTACATAAATAGGAAAGGTACATGAATAGGAAAGGTTTAGAGGGATGTGGGTCAAATGCAGTCAAATGGGACTAGTTTAGTTTGGGAAACCTGGTGGCCATGGACAACTTGGACTGAAAGGTCTATTTCCAAATTGTATGCATCTATATAATGCAGGCAAGATCCCATTTCCGAGTTACCTTTTGCTTCAGCCCAGCAGGTCTGCTCCGCCATTGAATCAGATCATGTTTTACCTAATAATCCACACTCCACTTTCCTACATATTCACCACAACACATCATTCCCTTACTGGTTAAAAATCCATCTGCCTCAGGCACTTTGCAAACTGTGTTAAGGGCATTAAAGAACCAAAACCGTTGTCACCTATCAGTGTGGCATCTACAATGTTAAGCTTGTAGACCTAACAATAACCCAACTCTATTTCTGAATAGACACATTTACGAAATGCCTGTACTAGGAACACAAATCAGTAGTAGGAGGCTATTCAGCCCATCTAATCAACACCTAGCCCTTTGACAGACTTCTGAGGCTAGGTTGGACAGTTTGGACTCATTTCCACTGGAGTTTAAAAGAATGAGAGGTGACTTGATTGATGTAATGTTGTGAAATGTTTACTCCCTTGTCAGTGAGCCCAGAGCCAGGGGATATTTTTAAAATTAGGGTTTACCCTTTTAGCACAGAGATTAGGAGAATTCTGATCTCTCCCCGAGGGTTGAGACACTTTGGAACTCTGCCTCAGAAGGCAGTGAATCTGGGGGTCACCAGATGTTAAGATAGAGGTGGATGGATCCTTGTTTAGGAAGAGAATCAAAAACCAGGAGTGGATCAAGGAGCCTATGGAATTCAGCCATAATCTTACTGAATGGTGGCAAGGGCTTGAGGGGCCCGAATAGTCTATTTTTGCTCCTAGTCCGAATATTCACAAATACCATGGCTGGTCTTCTATCTCATAGAATCATACAGTACAGAAGAGGCCCCTCAGCCCATCTGGTCTACTCTGAAAAAAATCTATATCTACACTAGTTCCACTTTCCAGCATGTGGCCCATAGCCCTGAATGATAAGACATTTCAAATGGCTCATCCAAGTACTTTTTAAGGTTGTGAGGTTTCCTGCCTCAACTTGCCTCCCAGTCAGTGTATTCCAGACCCTCACCACCCTCTGGATGTTTAAAAAAAAGTGTTCCTCAAACCCCCTTTAAATCTCCTGCCTTTCACTTTTAAAATTATGGCTCCTTGATATTGATCCCTCAACTAAGGGGAACAGTGGCTATTAACTCTATCTTATACATCTCAATCTGGTCCCTCTTCAACCCTCTGTGCTCCAAAAACAAGCTGAGCTTATTCAGCCTTTCTTCATAGTTAAACTGCTCCATCCCAGGCACCATCCTGGTAAATCTCCTCTGGACAGCGAAGGCTGTATCAAGAGTACAACAGGACCTTGAGCAGATGGGCGAAGGAGTGGCAGATATAAATTCAGATAAATGTGAGGTGCTCCATTTTGGAAAGGCAAATAGGCCAGGACTTACACACTTAATGGTAAGGTCCTGGGGAAGTGTTGCCAAACAAAGAGAGCTTGGGGTGCAAGTTCTTAGTTCCTTGAAAGTGGAGTCACAGATAGACAGCGTAGTGAAGAGGCGTTTGATACACTTGCCTGTATTGGTCAGAGCATTGAGTATAGGAGTTGAGGGGTCATGTGTCTGTAGGTTAGGCTACTATTGGAATACTGCATTCATCGCTGATCTCTCTGCTCTCAGAAAGATGCTGCTAAATGCATAAGGGTGCAGAAAAAAAATTTACAAGCATAGTGCCAGGGTTGGAGCATATGAGCTACAGGAAGAGGCTGGGGCTATTTTCCCTGGAGCGTCAGGGGCTGAAGGGGTAACCATATAGAGATTTATAAAATCATGAGGGGCATGGATAAGGTGAATAGCCAAGGTCTTTTTCCCCCAGGGTAGGGGAGCCCAAAATTAGAGGGCATAGGTTTATGGTGAGAGGGGCAAGATATAAAGAGGCTAAGGGGCAACTTTTCCACGCAGAGGGTGGTGTGTGTATGGAATGAGCTGCCAGAGGAAGTTTTGAAGATGGGTACAAATACAGTATTTAAAAGGCATCTATATGGGTGCATGAATAGGAAGGGTTTAGAAGGATAGGGACCAAATGCTGGGAAATGGGACTAGATTAATTTAGGATATCTGTTTGGTATGGGCAAGTTGGACCAAAGGGTCTGTTTCCATGCTGTACAGCTCTAGGATTCTAGATTGCGATGATGTGTGACTTTGTTCAATTTTCTATTACAAACAAATAATAGGTTAGGGATACAACGTAGGAGCAAATTAGTGCAGATGCTGGAATCCAAACTGAAAACAAAAAAATGCTGGAGATCACAGGGGGTCAGTCAACATCTATGGAGAAAAAGCAAGTTAACGTTTCAAGTACAGATAACTCTTCGTCAGAGCTCTCCATGGATGCTGCCGGACGCAGTGACCTCCAGCATTTTTTTGTTTCCCAGTTAGAGATACACATGTTTCTTCTTGTAGGGGAGATTAGACAAGAAAGCCAGAGAAACACAAAGGAGAACAATGTAATTATATGCTTTTAATTTTTATTTGAAACTGTTTGAATGATTATCACCTTGGTAAAATCATCAACAGACCGAGTGGTACTGACTTCACACAGATGATTTGCTGCTGCTTCCAGCGACAGCGATAACGCTTGCTGTGAACACTGCCCAGATACAGAGCCCATTCCCATTGACACTGCCTTGCTGCAGCTCAAGGTGATCTGGGGAGTTGTTGAGATGTGACATTTTGTAGAATCAGAGTGGCTAAGAAAAAAAAAGAGGCCATTCAGTCCATCGTGTCCTTGAGGCTCTCTCAGTAGCAACTTAGCTAGTCCCACTCTCTCTCCATTCTACAACAGCCCACAGCAAACCAAGCGGATAACTGCACACAACTGACAGATTTGTATTGCAACAGTTGTAGTTTGATGGGGTGTGGAGTGATAACAAATCAAGTCCTCACGGTAATGTGACAAGGCTCTTGAAAGGAAAACAATGGCCATGAGATCAGAAGACACTATAACTTTTTTAATAAACCATTAAAATATCTACTGGAAAAATTACAACAAATGGTAAAACCAAGTTAAAGCTAGCAGTTGGTAGGAGTACTCCATGGAGCATGTCTTCAAGTGATTATCTAAGACAAGACCAGACCAGCCTAATATACAACTGCATGCAGCTCCCTGCAGTTCATAGAAAAGAATTTCTTTTTTCATTCAGTAGTCTCTACCTGTATCAAGACTTTGCCACTTTTATTTTAAAATTTGAAGACTGTTTCCAAATCAAAACAAATCTAATTTTAAGTCCATACTTTCCCAGTTAAATGTGCCACAGAGACTTCCCCCTTCCTAACGCATTTTTAAAAAATCTCTAAACTAATCCCGTGAATGGATCCGGAAATCTCAATCATTCTCCGACTGTTTCCACAACTCAGTCAGCGTGGATCTAAATTTACTGCAGTTTGCTTGCATCCACCCACAGCCCCAAATAATTCCAATCCCCCCACGAGCCCAGACAAAAACCAGGTTCGCTTCAGCAGCCTGCTGCCAATTTTGAAACCTGCCTCAATCCATACCTCACAGGCAGCCCTGTAAGTGCAGAGCCAATGTACCAACCAAGCCTGGTAGAACTCTGTGCTACAAGTTCCTTGGCTCAGTTTTAAAATCTTACTCAGTTATAGTAAGGTCAGGTTACCTTTCCATCTTCCACTTTTGCATTACACAACTCTTGTTCTCCATTTCAAATGGCTACCTCTCTCAAATAGTGACATCACTGGCGTTACAGACAACTTGCAGCTGGTTCTGACCCAGTCATGAACGGCCCGACACATGTCGGACTGTTCCAGTATTTAACAACAGATGAGATAGTCATTCCTGAGCTGTTGAGGGCAGCACCCTGAATAAAGGACTCACTCACCGTCAATATAATTGTACAGCTCACCCTGTAACCTAATGCCAGATTCAAAAAAATCACAGAAGTATCGGGCTGTGGTGGGGTCAAAAACAAAATGGAAGGGAGGGAGGAAGGAAAGCTGGCTTGTATGTTATAATAACATAGATAGATGGCCAGGGATGAATCAGAGCTGTGCTCAGGCCCTGGTAACAGGTTTGGCATTTCAGTGTGCACATCCAACACTGTGTATGCACTCATACTGAATCTGCACTTCAAATGCAGCCCAGCACTGCCATCATTCAGACATTAAACTGAGGTCGTGTCCGCCCATGTGGTTGGACACTAAATACCCCACTCTGCCATTCAAAAAGCAGCAGTCTTCCCAGTTACTGGCCCATGTTTCTCCCTCAACCAACATCTAAAACACACTTTTCTTATTGCTACAGAAACGTCAGCTTTCCTGCTCCTATGATGCTGCTTGGCCTGCTGTGTTCATCCAGCTCTGCACCTTGTTGTCTTTCTTATTGCTGCTTGTTAGAGATTGCTGGGTGGGAAAATTTGGTTGCCTCAATTCTTACAGTACAACAGTGACTACACTTCAAGAATTCATTCATTGGTTGTAAAGCGCTTTGGGATACCCTGAGGTTACGAAAGGCAAAATATAAATCCCAATTTGTTTTCACAGATACTCACAAACACACACACACGCACGCGCACGCGCACAGTGGTCTTAATCTTCATGCTGTGTAGATAAATGAATTTGCAAACTTGCAGCAGAACACACAGAGGAAATTTGTTTGTGCTATTATATGAATTAGACACAGCATTGGTAGAGAAGCAGCTCTGGTGTGTGTGTGACTGAGACAGATTAGGGGGAGACAGGGAGAGAGAGAGAGAGAGAGTAAGAGAGGGACTGAGAGAGACAGTGTGACTGTTCTCACTTGCACAGCAGATCCGAGTCTATCAATGATACAATGTACACCAAATTAAACAGCATAACCAGAGCCAACTTTGTTTCGCTTGGGAAACTTGTTTTAAAAAGAAAATCATTCCCAGCAACAGCACCCATACCAGTTAGTCACCACCTACATTAGATTCGTAGTTACAGACTCAGGACAAGGAAAAATTGCATATCCAACCCAGTTATGGCTTTTTGTTGTGTTTCTCACTGTGTCAGCTTCTGCAGGTGATCCGATCATCTATCTTCACACACTTCCTGAATCCTCATACGCAATGCAAATGTAAAAAAGTCAAAGCCTTAGTAACCGAAACAATGCAACTTGTGCTTCTGTCGAGACAGAGATAAACAATGAGGAAAGATGCCCTTTATGCATTTTAAAGCCAGTATTCACAGTCCCTGAAGAGAGAGCCCCTCTCACTCCTGCTATTCAAAAGCACACCCATGTGCCAGGACTAAAGTCTCCAGTTTTTATTCTATTTGGGATTTCAATCCAGATCTATAAAGCTGTCTCTCTTATTAGGACACAGGTAAAGAAAAGTAAAGTGGTCTTTCTGACTGACAAGATGAATGTAGGGCCATGATCCCATGCAAATAGGTTTTGATTAAAAATTTAAATTTTGGATACAAAATTCCAGTTGACGTCAAAATTGCATCTATACTACAATATGACAGGTCAACATTAACCATCATAGAATGCTAGTCATGTAGCTAGCCTGACCAATTTCTCTTGGTTCAATGTTGCCAGCACAGTCTCTGCTCCATACCGTCAACAGTCTGGCATCAACCATCTTTTTGCCGTCTCTCTCTCCCAGGTACATGCAGATACCAGGATGGTTTCGAAGCTCAATGAGAAGAGAGTCCGAGGAGTCCTTAAGCACAGATATTGAAGAGTGCAGCTGATGGGACGAGCTGCAGTTAGGTTTGGGAATCGTGATGCTGATGAGCTTGAAGCAACTCGTTCTCATTGATGGTATCCAGCAAAAGACACACCGGCTCCTCTGGGACACGCTGTTCCTTGCAATCCTGTTGCTCATTCACTTCAGCCAGGCCTTCCTCCCTCATGTCCCCTCGTGGGCATGAATCACACATGTTACAGCTGTCACAGAACTCCATCGCACCCTCCAAACCATCAATCAGACCATCCAGCTCCTTTGGATCATCGTCCCTGTTGCAAACACAGACCTCGATCCCAGAATCGCCAGTGAACCTGCGGTGCCTCCCTGGCATCTTATCCACATCTTTGATTTCCAAGCACGCCTGGTGGTGCCAGCTTTCGATCTTCGAGGAAGAGCTCGGATAATAGTCAGTCAGTTGCTCTTTCTCGGGGCAGCTCAGTTCCTCCTCCAGGTCCAGGCAACAAGCACGCACAGGCTCCAGCTCCGAGGTAGGGCCCAGGTCCTCCACCTGGCTCGCCGTCTGAGTTTTGTTCAAGCCACTTTCCGAGTACAACAGGGGCGAGTCCAGGTCCAGAGTGCTGCCTTGTCGGGGCACCACCTCACAGACTGTTGGCACGGAGTTAGTCGGCGTGTTGGGGGACCTAGATGGCTCAGGATTTGAGGGGCTATTACAGTCTGTGACACACTGCTGATGAAGAAAGGCACTATAGGGAGGTGGTGGGGTCACTGGTCTGTTCACCACTTCTTCATAAGGAGGGAGTAAATAACTTGGCAAAAATCCTGGTCATTGTTTCCAGAACAGGTTGGGGGAAGAAACAAAGAAAGAAAAATATATTAATATTCATAATGCAAACATATTTAATCACCTTAATAGAGCTACCAACGAATAAAAACTACTCACTAGCTACTCTCTTTACAGAGAGTTGTGAACACAGCCCAATCCATCACACAAGCAAACCTCACATCCATTGACTCCTTCTATACTTCTTGATGATGTTAGCTGCCTCAGGAAGGCAGCCAACATAAAATCGAAAGACCCTTCCCCATCCTGGTTCTAATCTTTTCCAACCTCTTTCCATTTGGCAGAAGATATAAAAGCATAAACACATGTACCAACAGATTCAAGAACAGCTTCCTCCCCGGTTATTAGACTTCTGAATGGACCCCTCAAATCTTAAATTTAATGTTGACCTTACTCTCTGCGCACTTTCCCTGCAGCTGTAATATTGTATTCCTCGCTATCTTCTTTCCCCCTTACACACTTTGTATGATATGATCTGCTTTTATTAGACAAGAACAATAATACTTCGGGATGTTGCACTTTATCACATGAATGATTCAAGGCCCAAGTGAAAAACTTAAACGATAATAATTCATTTGCGTTTAACCCTTTGCAACAACTTACTTTCATACTGCACTGTTAACCTAGCACACCTATAGGTACTTTACAGGAGCTAATACTAGACATTTCACGTTAAGACAAAGGAGGAGTTATTAGGAAGAGTGCCAAAGGGCTAGCTTTTAAGGAGAGAGAGATTAAAAGGACATGGATTTCAGGAAAGGAATTGCAAGGTTAAAACAACCAAAGAGATAACAGCCAATGACGGGACAATAGTAATCTTTCTATTCCTGTATCAATATATTTTGATGCAATCCACAAGTGTTATATTTTACTATCCTTGAATTGATATCAATTGAAATCAGCATAAAATTCTTGTATTAAATATGTGCAGGTATCTCAGAGGATGGTGGACCTGAGGACATTACAGAGATGGGGGGGGAGGTGTGTGTGTTAATACAAGGAAGTGTGAACAAGAATAGAAACCTTAGTTTTCAAAATTCTCAAAGAAATAATGACCCTGATGGCTTTTACACCATAGTCAGTTTAATATTAATGGAGACAAAGTCATCAGTTAACAGCTACTGAATTCTAGACCATCTATCTAAAAGAAAACTAAACACCTGGGAAAGAAAAATATTTTTAAAAATAGAACAATGAAAAAATAAAGTGATGTGATGTCAGATATTTCAACTGTGAAGTTAGCAGGAATGCAGATTTGATGAATAACTCATCACTTACGTTGAGATTTGTACACTCCTCACTGCTGAAATTGTGTGCGAAAGACACTTGGAACAATGAGCTTAAAAATAACTGAAGGCATGGCAGTGTAGAAATCTTGATAGATTGACACCCTTCAATGCAAGGATAGTAAAATATTGCTTGATTGCAGATGACATCACAATATCACACAGCAACAGAAAGATTATTCTGTAGTTCCGAGGAAGGGTCACCAGACCCGAAACGTTAACTGATTTCTCTCCACAGACACTGCCAGACCGGAGCTTTTCCAGCGGTTTCTGTTTTAGCTTCTGATTTACAGCATCTGCAGTTCTTTTGGTTTCTCGGTATTGAAGATAGAATTCTTTAAAAGCCAAGTATCTGGTTTTCTGCCTCTGCCCCCTCAAGATGCTTCCAACATTATGCTTTCACCAGAGGGAGCCAGTGGATGTTACTTCTTGCACACCACAGCACAAGCAGGTCTGTTACCTGCCACCAGAGGGCAGGGACAGCATTCGCAACCCTAAAAGTACAGTCATTGTAGTCCTGAAGAGAGATGACTGATGTGGTTTAACCTGAGGGTCACCATGCCTCAGCAAAGGGGAAAGGTGGAGACAGTGAGCGTGCGAGAGCAAGATAGCGAGCGAGAGCAACCTTCATGGTAACCTCAGCCACTACAGTAATTGAGCCCACATCACTGTACACCATTGGCCGATTTCCAGTCTGCAAATGGCCGCTCTGCTACGAGGCACTCACGGGTACATTAGAAAGGTTTCTCCATTTCATAAAGCTACATTTGCTGGAGCAACTACTGAACACTGGTCATCAATGGCATTTGGGATAACGGGATGGAGTGGCCAAAAGGCACTGAAAATGTTCAAATCAGCCATGATTGTACTGAATGACAGGCTGAACGGCCTCCTTCAGTGGTTAGCACTGCTGCCTCGAAGCGCCAGGGACCCAGGTTCAACTCCAGCCTTGGGTGACTGTCTGTCACATTCTCCCTGTGTCTGCGTGGGTTTCCTCCTGGTGCTCCAGTTTCCTCCCATGGTTCAGTGATGTGCAGAATAGCTGGATTGGCTGTGCTAAATTGCTCAGTGTCCAGGGATATGTAAATTAGGTGGATTAGCCCTGGGAAATGCAGGGTTACAGGGATAGCGTAAGTGGGAGAGTTTGGGTGGGATGCTGTTTGGAGAGTTGGTGTGGACTTGTTGGGCCGAACGTAGGGATTCTATGGATTCCTGTTCCTACGTTCCTTCCTAACAATACACTTATGAAGGTGGCATTAGGCAGTGTCCAGTTGATCCAATTAAAATGGATCAGGGAATGCTATGGTGTCATGATTTTAAAAGCCCAGTCTAGCCTTGATGCCATGTGAACAGTGAGACAAGACGCTGTCTCGTGGAGTGGAGCTAATTCACCAAATGGCTTGAAACAAGAGCTGGATTTATTCCTGGTTGGGGTGGAGATCTGTTCATAGAAAAACTTACTTACGAGAGAAAATTCACATTGAATGATCGAGTGATCCCAAATCCTAAACTCCCCCTCCCTGAAACAAATCAGCTTTTTTTCCCCCACTCTCCCCAGAGCCCACATTGTTTTGGGTTGGATGGAGAGTATATGCACAAGGTGAAACCAGAGGGTCTTCTCATTCTGAAAAACGGTCACTGGACCTGAAACGTTAACTCTGCTTTCTGTCCACAGATGCTGCCAGACCTGCTGACTTTCTCCAGCAACTGATTTTGTTCTAGATGGTCTTTAGCCTGACTGTTATTAGTTACATGATAAGATTGTGGACCTACTGTGGCTTTCTAACGCCAATGTCATTCGGAATGAAGGAAAGACCCTGCCATGATTGTGTACACATTAGAAACCACAACAAAGAACGAATTAATTTCACTCTAGTTTGTGGCTTCGTGAGTAATATTTCATCCTGGCCACTAGCTGTTTTTCACTTAAAGAGGCTTGCCTACCATCAAACTGCCAGTTCACAACTTAACAACAGAAGCCAAATTTTCCTTTATTCAATTTATGCCTGACTTAAGAGGGATGGAGGAAGAAATTAGACAGAGAGCAGAGTGTGAGCACAGGGATAGAGAGCAGATAGAGAGAGGCACAAATAGATGCACGCACACACAAACATATGCAGATCCATGCAAAGATAGGCAGACATGGCTTTAACCACAGACAGACACCTCAGATGCCCACGCGAGAACGTATACACAGAAAGAGACACACAGACACAGAGGGACAAAGATAGGCATGATCTGCAAACACTGATGCAGAAGGGGTGAGTGAGGAGAGACAGAGAGACAGAGAGACAGAGAGACAGAGAGACAGAGAGAC